ATGGATTATCACGATTGATATGATCTTCATATTGACCAAGAAAATATGCTGTTAACGGTGGAACATTCGATAGACATTGTAAAGCAGAATTCATGAAGCAAGTATTACCCAAATTCGATAACCCACAAAGGCCAGTCTCGATGCCAACACAACGCTTCCATATTTCAAACCACTTTTTATCGATAATCACATATTTATCATCGACTTTGTTGTCTTTTTCAAGTAATTTCTTATATTTTCCCACTGGCTTAGACGTCATCGCAATATTGGTCGATCTTTTTGTTCTGTTAAAAATGCAACACAACTCACAACACACGCATGAAAAGAAAAGAAAACACGAGAAATTGAGAAATGAATCATAGAACAAATGGATTGTGTATAGTCCTTTTTCAAAAAAAAACCAACCTGAGTCATGACGTAATTTGTAGAAAGTAATACACGTGGACAGAAATAGTAAACGATAGCTACGAACCATTTGAAAGCTGCTTTTTTAGGGTTGGGTGTCGGTGCATTTTTTGGTGAAGAGGAAATCGAAATTGACACTCATTTTAATATTTATACTTTCTTAATTGTGCATTACTAGTATTTTTATTTTATTTTTTAAATAATTCATACCAATAATTTCCCTGTTTACCGACTGAAATCAGCAGCGTTCAAGGATTGAGAAATAGGGGTGAACCATTTAATTTAATGCGAGTTAATTAGCGGTGTTAATTAACTAAAACCGTTAACCGTTAACGTAAACGTGCCATTCCTAGATATGAATAGGTAATCTGGAAACAGTTTTCTTATCTTCCATTATGATTTCATCGAGAATAACACGAAAAAAGCAATGGAGCTTAACCGACTAGAAATATTTGAAGGAAGTTTAATTAATTTAGTTTGAGCAATATTATTATTGCCCTAGACTCAATGTTAAACACAACATACTACTTATTACTGGTGAATAACTATATGCCATTGTTTAAAAAAGAGTTTTTAAACATAGTACCAGCAAGGTTTTTCGATAAAAGATTTTACAAATGAAAAAGAAATTGCAAAGGCCGGGAATCGAACCCAAATTCCATTCAGGTATTGAGACAATTCGTCTCAGAGTGTACGTGAACAATTCAATTCGTTTGATGTTCTCACTGTTGAACTACTTTACGGGTCGCCCGCTTGGAGAGCGAGTATTCTACCACTGAATCACCGATGCTTGTTAATAGTTCCGTGTGTATATGTGGCTAGCATATCATTAAAAGTTTGATTTAGCAATATAAATTCAACTGACGTGAGAAAAATCTAGACTTTATATTTAAATCAATTTTTATCCAATAACTTCATAGTGCTTTGTGGAACGAAAATAATATCACATATCTTCAGAAAGGACAGGATAGAGATATGAGCAGGGCTGAACCATTTTGTTTAACGCGAATTAACTAACGGCGTTAAATTTAAATTAATGTAAGTGTACCACCCCTACTGAGAAATAGGAATTCATAATCTGCCGAGGAACTATCAGTGCCGCTGTAATAATTCTTAGAGGAAGTGGGAATCAACCATTGGTTTCTTCACAGTTCCACCAACCACGAAAGTCGCGATATTGCTTTTTTTTAAATAATTTGTGCACGAAACTATTGATTCTCACAATTTTTCAGCCGAAAATGAGTGTAAGAACAAAAATTATCGTGAATATTCCACATTGTTACCTTTAATGTGCAAGGAACTGTAGAGGAACTGAGGAAGGATTCGTAATTCTCACTATTTGGACACCTTTCAAACATTTATATGTTTTATTAATATTACAAAAAAAAGGAAGAACTTATCGAAATGTAATGAACAATGCTGACACAATGCTTCAGTAGCTAAGAGGTTTTGCCATAAACGTTGCTAAATATGTATCGTAATATACTACTTGTTAACATCTGCAACAATCGATTTTTAACAAACGTTGCCATTTAAAACTGCTAATCCCACATATTCGCCAAACGATATATTTCAATATCTGCTGTTGTAAAATTAGTTGAACCAGTAAATGTCAAATAGCCTTTACCAGTTGAATCCAAATAATGTGAAGGAAATTTAATAAAACTTTGAGAATTTAAATTACTATTCGGATAAACACAAATATCATATTGACCAAATGTAGGTCCCATTGCATTGGGTACTATCGCATTTTCACCTGCTGGTTTAATTGAATATTTAGTAGGTGGTAATCCATGAGGATTGCTTAATGTGAATAGAAATGCAGTTCGATCCATAAAACCAGATTTCGCTCCTTGATGAAAATTCCAATTCACTGATGTATATCCACCGAATAGATAATTGTCTAAAGATTGAATAACAGCTATTGTTGGGCCTTGACTATCACAACAACGATGAAAATCCTCAATTGTAAAACCATCTGTTGTAGCTTTATAGGTTAAGCGCCACTTTTGATTTTCATTTCCATAGAATTTATTTAATTGAAATTGGTCTTCTTGAGTTAAAAGTGTTCCACCAACAAACGCTTGTTTTGGAGTTGATATATTATAGTTATATATTGTTGATGTTTCCGAATAAACACGAAGTATACTTGACCAATCAATAGGTGTTATATTCAATCGAATACGAGGTGAATGAGTATTGAATGTTGTTTGAAGATTTCTAAGACTTAAATTTAAATGTTCAATAGAAGTATCAGTACTACTACGTCGTCGAAATTCATTAGAATCTTTTCCAGAACCAAGGTCATTTTGCATTGTTAACGTATTTACACGTTGTCGCGCTTGATCAGCTGTTTGTCTAACAAGCAGTAACGTTCCACGTTCCCATTGATCGATTTCATCGAGAAGAGTCAGTGGCTGCGAACGACTTGAAATCGATGAACGACGAAGACTATTCATTTTTTTCAGCTATAAGACTTAGTAGAAAAAAAAAGAACTGGAATTTCAATCGTAATGGAATAAAAATGCGACGGCGAGTAAAAATAACAGTTCTCTTGAAAACAAGTGAGAAGTTGTATGCGCTCTTCCTGCCTGAGAAAAGAGTAAACAATCGGTCACATTTTTTTCTCCTTCAATTCAGAAAAAAAATAACTTATTCAGAACTGCAATCAAGAAAATAATTCTTTTTAGAGAAAGGATGTTTTTGACAAGTCGTTGATTTGACTCGAGGCTTTCTGTTATGTAAAAATTATGTTAGTTGAATTACGTTTTTTGAAGTCTAAAAAAAGTTTCTTGTTGATGATTTATAAGTAAAAAGAAAAGAACGTAAAACTCGAAACAATCTAAGAGAAAACAATACAGTAATTTTAATCGTAATACGTCAGATCGATTAATCAAATTACTCTCTTTAGATGAATATTGAATTCGGATTTCTTTCGATAGACTGATGTTTCACTACCTGTTCATGTTATGTGTTACTCGCAAATGACTAACTACTAGTGTCATCTATTGTGCTGAAAATGTATTTCTAAAATTCTTCTTTGTTTTATTATATACATCAAATGATGATGAAATCGAATTTTTTCTTGTTTATTTCATCTGTTACCAGTTGAATATTTGCAACAAATTATCATTCTCCAATTGGCAAACACGTTTTACGCCAGTGGACAAATCAAATCAAGACTTTGTTCAACCCCATTCGTTGCGGAGGCCTCGGTAGCCGCGAGTTTTTGTATTTAGGAAATTAAAAAAGAAAACAAAATTACTCTACCTTATTTTCAAATAAGATGGGTAAAAAGAAGCCGCGTTTGTCGCTTTTTTCAACATTCGTCGAACAAATAAACGAACATGAATCCAAAATATCATCAAACGACTGTCATCTTATTGACAATGAATATTTTGCTGCGTTTAATACACTGGATGATATTCAACAATTTCATAGTAAAATAACTAAAAAACAACAAGAACAATCGAGTAATATTGATGAAGATGCTGATCCTCCGACCGAAGACGATCCTAATGACATGGATATGAAATCATTTGCTCAACAATATCTTATTGACTTACCTGAACATATGACAAAAGTAACTGAAAATCATACTGTAGCTTCTACGCCTACGAAAGATCTATTCAATGCAAGAGAATCGATTAATTGGTCACCAAAAGTCAAAGTTAACAATAGCGTAACTCAATCACCAGGTAGCGTTGTATATCAACAATTGTTTTGTTCTCTAAATCTTTTTGCTATGTTCTTCATCTTAGATAGTAAAAAACGAAAAGCAACAACACCCGTTAAACGAAATATGGAAACAGCTAATAAAAGAATACGAAGAAATATACAAGATTTACCTCAATCAAATCAATTTGTTTATATGTCTGATAATGATAATCAAAATGATTTGAATGTTTGTTCCCTTTTTTTTTAATTTAAAATTCAATTTTATATTCATTTCAAATCTTTAGTCATCGGATAATATATTTCAATGTTTACTAAATGAAACATCTTCAAATGAAATTTCTGTTGAAAACATGAATTCAATTCTTTCGACGTTAAATAAGAGAAAACCCGTGAATGGTATGAAATTTTATGCCAAAGAAAAACTAAATATTAAATTTTCTGTTTCTTGTCATTATTAGAATCTACCATATCCATCGAATTGGCTGAACCATCAATGATTAAAAATGAACCTGTAGAATCAGGCGAAGTCAGCTTTATTCAATGTCATATTTCAGTTGTCTTACTGTACTTGTTTTTATTTCAGTTAGTCGTAGAAACAAAAGAAGAACCAATTGAATTAAATGTATGATTATTAAAAAGGAAAAAGAAGAGGAATTTTGATTAAAGTTTTCATTTAGATAGTTTCTGAAGCATCAATGGGTTTTGGTACTTCGCATTAGTAAGTCAATGACGAGAAATTATCAACAGTAATTATATTTCTCTCTGTCTCTCTTTTTTAATAGCTCCGGTGATTTAGATCGCTATGTTCAAAATATTCATCTTCTACATCAACCTTCAAATCCTGAACCATTAGATTCTACGATATCTTCACGTCCAAAACGCATTCGTAAACGAAAAAAACTCTACATTGAAGAAAGTGAAATAATTACACGACCGAAAAAAGTTAAAATACCTATTCATAAAAAGCGTTCAGCACCTCCGCTATCTCAAGTTCCATCAACACTTCTTCTGACGGATGCCGAAATCGAACAACAATTTGGCGAACGTTTACCAACTGTTAAATCCGAACAAGACGATGATACACAACAGATTGTTAACAGTCAAATTGTTATTGAATATGAACCGGTTTCCAATCCAAATCTGACACCGCTAGAAAAAGCACGAGCAAAACTATTAACTGCTTTAGGACGTAAGATAATTTTCAAAAATTCACTTGTTAGCAAATATTTATATTGAATTTCTCTAGGTGGCCATGGTCCAGATACGTATTCACTTAAAATTCGTTCTCGTGAACATCAAATTATCGAAGTACAACTAGCCATTTATAGTACAGCTGATTGGCATCCACATCGTACTAAAGTCTTAGCAAAAATCGAAGAGGTTCATTGTAGAGAAAATTAAAATAAGCATACAGAGTATTTTTTTTCTTGCAGGCACTCCGTGGCCTTCGTGTAAGTTGGACAAAAATCGATATTCATGTTGATAATTTCGATATTGAAATTTCAACATCATCACAATTATCAAAAGTACCTCCACCAACAAATACGAATTCATCCTGGTTTTTGAAAGCTCTCAGTGAATCAGGACCAGTCATAGTTCATATTCATGATCGCCGACATCCTCAACAACGTTTTCTAATTAAATGTTCTTGTTCAGAATGTTCACCAATATCTGTACAAGATTCTCTCGAGTAAAATAATACAGAAAAAAATTACAGTTTTTCTCAGAAACTTGTTTCTTTAGCTCATCATTACCGGTTATTGTCAATGTTTCTCCTGCGAAAACACCACCTCGTCGATTAATGACTCCAACAATTTTAAATAAAACTCCACAAAAAAATGTATCTCTATTGCAGAATATTGATACGAGTTTCTTCAACGAACTTATTCATCAATGGGGACGAACTACAGTCGTATCTGTAACACAGTGTGTGCTCGATCTTTCATTAATTGCTAGTGTTCATGCGTCTATACCAAGTCTTTGTGTATCACCAAATTATTCCAAAGAAGAATATAAGAAAAAATATCAACAAATTATTGATCCACTCCAATGTACGTTAAATGAAAAAGAAAACAAACTATTATCAAAACCAGCAACGATTCCACGAATTGTTTCAGTCAATCCTATGAATAATAAACAATCGATTGTTTTTTCGAAACCACCAGATATATTAAATTTTTACAATGCAATCAAACAAAATAAAACCAACATACGAAATGCGACAGGTAGTTGTTTTTTTTCTTAATTTATTTTTCGTATTTGAAATTCTTTTGTTTGAAGAAATGAGAGATTTAATTGAAAAATCATTTTCTACAACTGTAACATCTCCTCCGTCGCCATCTGTTACTATTCAATGCAATGCGACCAAAGGTAGAACACTCATTCTTCCAAAACCAACATCATCTCTATCAAATAATCCAACAACAATGACTTTAGTTGAGTTTAAAAGGATTCATGAACAAAATCGTCGCCCATCTCAAATACATCGTCACGATAAAAATATTCGAACTTATTCGGATAGCAATGAAACAAAACAGCAAGCTAATTGTACATCATTTATTGAATTGAAACCTATTCTGGGTGGATCATTGTCTGGAACAAAACCAAATAATGAATTGAAAAAAGTGATCACAATCAATGGATTAAATGAAACGCAACGTGTAAGTCGAAATGTTTCAATTTAACTCTATTTTAAAGGCAATACTTTTCTAGGCTAATCGTGAAATGACTTCACCATCAACAAAAAATGCTCGTGTAATTCGTCTTTCAATTGCTAAATCCGGGTCATCAACATTTGATCAACAGACCGATTCAACGTCACCGTCTACGATTCGATTATTAGCATCACCAAAAAGTGATTCTGATACGAGCCCTTCACATTCCAACGCAATCTCCGATAAAGGTGAACCAGTACCACTTGTACCTAAACAGATTAATATCATTAAACCATTATCATCCTCATCGTCGTCGATTACACCAGCTATAAAACTTTCGAATCCGATTCTTATTTCTCATAAATCTCAACAATCGTCAACAAAATGATATTGTTTGAAAACATTCTGTTTTTTTTGCTTGTGATTGCTTTTATATATCGAGTGAAATATAGTTGAAAATTCTTTTTTTTTATGAAAAATAGTTAAGATTGACGAAGCTAAAATAAGGACTTTTACCAAATAATCTAAATCCGAGTGAAATCAAATTCATGAGAAATTCAACGTTATATTAACAATCTTTCATTCATTCAGTACAATAGTTCCGCAAAAATAAACACAGTTGTGATAAAAAAATTATTTTTTTGTCCTTCGAATTCTTCTATTTGTAACAAATTTTGATTATACCTGCAGAAACACTGCATCTATGTAGAGTCAACTGCATGATTCAACAGTATCATGTGAATGAATAAAAAAGAAAGAACATATATAATTTGGTTGAATCTACACAAGTTTTGTTTGATACTGAATGAATATCATTTATGACGAAGAACACATGTTTTCAGAGATTTTGTTTTGACAAGTAATACGTCGGTCAAACTGCAACCCAGACGTTTTTATACAAAACCCATGATTCTATTGTAGGAATACTTAAGTAATAGTATACATTTCAAGAATCATTTGTCACAAAAAAAGAACAGAATCTACTAGTCTATCATTTATCAAATAATTAATTTATTCAAACTTTTCTGAGAGGCGATACTAGTTTTCGAAAAATAATTCTCAAAATCCTTTTCTCATCGATGTTGATCTTCACTATTGGGAATCTCATCTAGGAGCACGGAAGTCTTGCCTTTTCTCCGTTGATCCTGACTCATTATATGTATCAATTCCCAGCAACTTCGATTGACATAAACCCCGTTTGCACTCTTTATGACAACACGCTTTACTGAAGACAACCAACAAAAAATCGAGTAATTATTTTCAATCGAGTTTCTCAAGCTGATGATCTTCGCAACGGTTCACTTCGTGTGCATTATCCTCTTCGCGATATTCGTATGCTCGTGCATTAAACATCTCATTGTTGTATTGGGTGAACGTTATCTCTTTGCTCGAAATGGATCCTGTCAATATTTAATGACAACACCAACACCTCACGCGATAATAATGTGCAACAAATACTATGATGATCAAATATCCTCAATGAATGTGATGCAAATTGCGACCAATCACATAACATCACTCTCTCAAGTAGGTAGCCACGAAGTAAGGGTAATCCGTATATCTCTATCTAAGAAAGAGGACGCTATTCAGTGGATAGTAATAAACGAAAGCACGGAATATAGAGAAAATTATACATTTATGCAACCATTGATGTTGATTGATGACACAATAGCAGTAAAAATGTGAAAATCTCGTAAAACCATCTGCCACACGATGTGTTTTTATAAATTTGCTTTTGAAAGATCTCTGCAAGATCTGCTTTTATTTCGTTATGGTGGTAATCGAGTCTGGAAACGAACAATCTTCTCGCCGTGGGCCCATTACTGTCGGATATGCATCTTCTCACAGAGTAGTGCCCATGTTGTCTTTCTACGGATGACAAAACGTTTCATCGTTCTGTTTCTTTTTGCTACCGTGCGATCACTATGGGAACATTCATCATTTATATTCACAAAGACAAAATACAATAACGATAGAAAAGAAAAGAAAGCCGCGTCTCGCCATTGCGCTGTATTGACGTTAGCAAAGTGTGTAATCGACGACTTCTTTTTCATTCTTTTTTGCGTTAGAAGTTTGCTAATCGCATTATGCATATTGGCAATGAGGAGAAATCTTTCTCAATGTGACAGACAAAATTGAAGTCCCGAAGAGTTATGACCACTTTATTAGTCATCACTAAGCATTTTATAGGTTTTATTTGAAAAAAAAACACAAAAATTTTCCGTATTTTTATATGATTCGATAAAATTCGGTAAGTCTACGCAGAATGGGAGTAGGAAAAATATCCTGATTCTGTGTGTGTAATAGAAAACTTTAGAAGAACGAGACAGGAGAGAGAGAGAGAGTATGCTTAATCTTTAATGACGTTGGTAGTTTGATTATTTCGTCTGTTGATAAAGTTAGGATAGGTTGTGTATAGCTTCACTAAGTACCACTACGTCTCAAAGCATAAACTTTAGACTATTCACATGTTTTGTCATCAACAACTTATTGCCTCTACGTAGACATTCTGTAGCAGTCTGTTTCACAAATTTATAATTCTATTTTATTTTTCACTTTGTTTATTTTGAAAATACAAGAAGAACTCTGTATATTTTTTTGAAATGCAGCACTTCTGTTAGTTAACAGGAAATCCATTTCCCGATATCGGTGACAAAATATCAAAAGATATGGCATCAGTTTTTCGAGGTTTTCAGTACTGATATTGTTCTCATAGAACTGTAAGTCAGTTTGTTGAAGATTATTCATATAGGGCCACTAAGTTGTTGATGGCATAACATGCCAACAGTCTAATTAAGTTTATGCTTCGAGATGTAGCGGTATTTAGGGAAGCTATACGCAACCTATTCGAACTTTGCCAACAGACGAAAGAATCAAAACCGATCCGGTTAATAGTGAATTCGTATCTAAATTTTGCTAACTGTTGTGATTTTCAACTTTTACATCTTTATGAAGTCTCTAATATTTTTTGCTAACGTGACTTCCGCATACAATTGCAGTGGTTCTTGTCGTCATTAATTTGCCAAGAATTTATCCTGAAAACGTTGTTGTCTTTCAGCATAATTATTTCAAAATATTTGACACTTAATAGTTGATATTGATTGTTTTCAGGTTATATCAATTTAATCAATGCGAAATACACCAGTGTGACAGATGAACAGCTCTGTAGAAAGTATTCTATCTGATTTTAAAATGTCTCGATAAGAATTCATCGAACGGTAACTTGATTTATTTTACTTAGAGTCTGGAGTCGTTTTCAGGCACCTAAACAGTGTCATTTGATATTTCAACTTTTATTTGATCCTGTTCTATCGTATTCTATTACAAAACCCATTATAGAATATTACTTTGTTTATGCGCACCACTTTTTATTTGCACTTCTTTTTAATCGGATATTTTTAGGTTTGCCGTTGACTGAAATCATCTTCATCTGAAAGGAATGTTAACGGCCAAGAGTCAAATAGAAATCGCGACTGAAGATGGAATTGAGCGGGTTGCACCACAAAGGTTAATTTGATTTTTAAACTTGATTTAATTTCACCGATTTTTTTTCCTTTGGAGAAACACATGTATTTTGTAAGAACTCTTTGTTCACAATACTCAATTCTTTCCTGTCATTACTCTAATAGTATATAGTTTGACGACGGAAAACTTTGGCCATGTGCCGACAACAGTTCTGTTTTGTAATGATATCATTCTTCTGTTATAGCAAATTGCTTTAACATTATTTTCACGAGCCTATAATAAGAGGTCACCGACAGCGATGAATGTTTCGATAATTTCTTTATTACACAGTAGCTACACGATGGATGGTCCAGCGATGAACATCAATAACAGATCGAACTATGTACATGCGGGCATCTCATCACTAATTAACTGCGAAACGCTTCATATACATCCAACCTCAGATATATTTGATCCAACGAAAAGCTATGTTGGCTTAATTAGCTATTTAACTGGCGATATTTATATAAGAGAGTCAGATTGGATTTTGAACAATATATCACAAAGGAAAGGACGACGTCACGGGGATTCTTTGCATGACCGATTATTTTATTCTATCTATAGACGTTGGAAAAAACAAAACACAACATTTATTGGAGGTGGATTTTCTCATGTAGACAATGAGTGGACATTTATCTGTAGAACACTGAATACAGAGAATGACGACCATCATTTAAAGAAATTTGACGAAATAATCTTACAACTGATAATTAATAATATATACATCAATCATCGATGGCTAGGAATGCATCCTGATCATCGTATCGATTGTAAAAGTTTAGATGCAATGGAACGAAACAAAAAATATATTTGCAGAGCCGATTCTTCGAATATTCATGTCAACAGAAAACTTCATGGTACTGTAAAATGGTTAAACAATCAACGCCGTCGTCTTGGCTTTATAGAATGCATTGGTCTTGATAGAGATTTTTATATTCATGCAACAACCATATTGAATAACCATTCATATTCCGGGGAAAACGTTGAATTTAATATTATACAAGGATGTCATGGATGGAAAGCGGGAACTATAACTGCTATTTGGCCTTAATTTACAGTACTTTCATATTCAACTTCTAAAGTAGATGTTAGATACTGGTAGAACTGCTTTTTAAAGACAACCACCACATGACAATTCGTGATAGTCTACTTAGTATTTGGGAAAATGTTATGCCTCTTTTTCATAAAACTAAAATATTGACATGGAGTACACTGTATAAAATGTTCACGTGAATGAAGTGTGCTGTTTGAATCATATTCGGAAGTGTGAAGAGTGTGAATATGTATTATATTAAAAGTACTGATACAACTAGTTTTTAACATCTATCGAGGTTCTTCATCACAGGTAGTTTTAAGCAGTGCATCATTTTAGAGATTAAATTGAAGGATGCGTATGGGCTTGATTGTAGCTGTAGATATTCTAGTTATTATGAAGTCTTTTCTACCACATTATTTTTTCACCTGAAGGCGATTATGAAGATCTTACATTTATGTTATTGCCAATATTGACGAAAGCATCCAATAGAAACTGTTATTGTAGCTTCAATAGTTTTATAGAGCACTTGTTTATAGAAAAACAATGAATTTGTTATGTGCCCGATAAAAATGCACATATTATAGGAGGCTACACATGGTTACAAATCGTTTCTTGTTGGTCGCACGCAAATAGTAAATAAACAATCATTATCGCAACAGTTTTATTGAGCAAACACGCGAATGAGAAATATTCAAAGATTTTTCCTCACACGATCCTTGCTATTCATTGTGGTTTTAATATTGTCATGTGTTGAAGGGAGCGACTTTCGCCATATAGTCATCGCATTTTCTAGATAGCAAAGTGCTTTTGAGTAGTAACCCATTTCATAAACCACTTCACCGATGTTGTTGTACAAAGCAGCTAAATCGGGATGATTCGTAGGTAGAGATATTTCATAGATTTTATTTGATTTTTCGTAAAATTCAATTGCTTTCGTGCAGTCACCCATGTTGTTATACACTGCACTGATGTTGGCGTAAGTATGCGCGAGTGTAGGGTCATCTTGCGGGAGGGTCCGGCGAATGATCGCGAGTTCCTTTTCGTAGAAAGCAACTGCTTCTTGATATTTATCTTGTTGCCATTTCGACAATCCAATGTGGAGATAGATATGTGCTATATCGCTTTCGTCAGAAGCAATCTCGAGTAATTCATTGTAGAGTTCTTCAGCTTGATTGAAATGACCTACTTGTAGCAGCAATTGGCCCATTGAATACCATTCTCGACCACCGAGATCCACTTGTATTCGGCAAGTGAGATCTGTAAGTTGTGGATCGCTCTTTTCAGTAATAGTTAATTGTACTTCCCAAAGAGAACTATTCTTGAACTGCACTATCTTTCTCAATTAGTGCGTACCAGGTAGAAGAAGGTAATACTTTACTCTGATCGATTGCGATCGAAAAAAGAACGCCCACGATATCTTCACTTTCATGTAGTGGAGTTCTAACGAATAGCATAGCTACATATTTTCGTTTCAAACAGACGTTGAAAGTCCCTTTGGGTAAGTCCTTGACCACGATAAACAATAAAAATTTTCTCATGTGAATGTAGTTGCTCAGCTTGTCGATGTAGATTGCGAATAAAGAAGTCCATTTTCATCATTGCCTCCATATTGAGTGAACGCAAAGCCTTGTTGAGCATTCCATACAGGAAACTGTCCCGACTATAACACAAAATGGAAGATTTCTGATGGTATTCACGCTGAAAACTCTCCAGTTGAGCTTCAGAAATGCCTCAATTGCGGCAATAAGCCACCAGTTGATTTATTGCTTCCGTATCATCTTCCTCAATTTCCAATAGTATTTCTTTGAAAAGCATCGAATACATGTAGGATGGCTCCAACTGATCAAGATTCTTGTCACCTGAGGATGTTAAGATTTCTTTTGAAACAAATCTCATCGGTATTGCACTGTGATCGTGTTCGCGGGTGAGTTTTTTAATGATGTACATATGGGGTGAATTGAGTGATGGAAGCTTTTCACTTTTGGCCATTCTGGTTGTTGTTCTGCATTGCTATTGAAACCAAAGATAGTATCAAGTTGAGGCATATCGTGAATGAGGAGCACTGTATTTTCACCAAATCCCCTAGGGACAATTAAAAAGATTTTCTCATCTTCGATCGTTGTCAAATAGTCAACACATTGATCAGGATCAGAACCGTATTCTAATGTGTAGATAGTGGCTTGAAGTTGCGCTAGAGAATGTTGAAAATCGTCAGCATCCTTGTCTGCATTGGCATCGAGCCATACCAGAAGAAAATGTTGCATGATTCTTCTAGAGCCTGATTGAAACACTGCTCACAATGTTGCATCAGCGGTGGCAGTACCCAGGTCAATGATTACGGAGGACGGATACCGTAGGAACCGGCCGGAAAGCGCTGGAAAGTGGAAGCAGTGTTCCGGTTGGAAGTTACCGGATTTTTCCTGTGGGTTCCGGTCAGTTTCCCGTGGTTTCCAGCTGAAAGTTGATCGGAATCCATAGAAAAAAATCCGATATTTTCCGACCGGAATACTGCTTCCACTTTCCAGCGTTTTCCGGCCGTTTCTCGCCGTACCTCCATCACGTGGGTAGGTGTTTTCATGGTTTGTTTTGATAATTCTGATACATGCTTTGTGCTACATTGAGCATAGCTGAAGTTTCTAGCTGTGCATGATCTGTCCTTATCCATGTTGTACGTATTTACGAGCTTTTACGATTGTAAGAAAGAATGGATTAATAGATTGAATAACAAAAAGAAGATCTTTTAGATGAATAACGTATCAGCAGTGAGAATGATTACACGAGCAATATTTTCATGCTACTACATATAATATCTAACCGCGTGAGAATTCAGTTGCCACACGTATTTCTCTGTCAATACCAACTCCTGATTTCATACAATGATTTTTGTACATTGATTGTAAGAAATAGTGACTGAATTGTATTTATGGCCATGATTTTTGCCATTCTGTGAATAGGTTGAATTCGAATTCCGATTGTGAATAAAATTGATAATCATTGCATGTACTATTTCGATCGCCTATAAATCTTGGCTACATTACACAGGTCATCAGTGACGTGAGATAAATTAAATTTTTCGTCTAATAAATTCTTATTTATACTATATATTGATATGTTTTGCTTGAGTATTCATGTATTTTTGATCGAGGTTCATTTAATTGTAACATACATGAAAAACTATCATCACAAATTACCGAGGAAAAACATCTTACTTACTATTTCGGTTGGCTAAAATAACTATATTCCTAATGAATGCACGTAAATGAAGGAAAATAGATTAGGAAACATGTTTTCCAACAGAAGTCTGTATTGAACTATTGATAGTATCAAGATCTTATCTATAGAAGTGTGTGGGTGTGGACTTGAAGAAGGCCAAGACCCGCACCTTCATGCTTCACTTTAGGTTATTTCTTCAGCTGTAATTCAGTAACAGACAAAGTGAATTCATACATTCAAGATATTTATTAAAAAATAATTAGATTAAAAAAATGCTTTGTATTTTATAATGAGATTCGGCTATAGGAATACATATTTAAAACTCATCAACATCACTATGTAGACCACCGACATTTGATCCTTGCATAGGACGAGAATGATCGACCGATGAAAACTAAAAAGATCATCGTACATAGAAATATTGCTTTTAAAATCTAATTCAATCTTACCGTTAACATTGGTTGTTTTCGTGGTGTTCCTTTCTTGCGTCGTGGTGATTGTGGCTCATTAATAGGTTCCATTTGTTTTTGTATAACACGCTATAAATATAAATTTCAGCTCGATTAATTCAAATTATATATTAAAACAAACTCTAATCCAAGGATGTTGTAATAATTCACTGGCATTTATACGCCGTTTTGGATCTCGTTCTAGCATCATCGTTAAAGCATCACGACACTCTGATGATATTTTAGGCAAAAGACCATAATCAATTGTTGTATTAGTTACATCTGCTAAAATATCCTCGTCATGCTCTCTAAAAATAATTTTTAGAAAGACAAAAACATTTGTAGTTAATTGTAGTCATCGGTTACCCTTTAAAAGGTGCCATACCGCTGAGAAGAGTAAATGCTATAACACCAAGTGACCACATGTCATTTTCCACTCGATAACTAAAATTATAAATCATTTCTTCTGCTCATTTTAGCAAAAAAATGAAAGCAGTGATTCGAGCGAGGCTCGAACTCGCGACCTTCTGCGTGTGAAGCAGACGTGATAACCACTACACCATCGAACCTTGCCATCTGATCGCTTACTCTCTATTTTGAATCACTTCTGGTGCCATATACATTGGAGTACCACAGAGATTGTCACCATTGGCTGCAACAATCGGTGTTTGATCAGATAAACAAAGTGCTAAGCCAAAATCAGCTAATTTTAACGTAACACTTTGATCAGGATAATTTGTCATCTAATGAAATAAAGAATAGAAGAAAAGCGCTAGAATATATGTACTTACAAGAATATTATCTAATTTAACATCTCGATGGACAATATCTAATGAATGAAGATATTTCAAAGCAGACGCTATTTGACTTAACATTAAAGCAACATCATGTTCGCTATATTTATTCATTGTATTCACCGCTGTTAATAGATCACCATTCTGCATTGAAAAACACAAGCCATCGTTTTTGTTTAAACAAAAGAAAAAACAAGACTTACTGATACATATTCTAAAACAAGAAAGTATTTCAGTTCATTTTGAAATTCTTCCACAAGTTTAATAATATTCGGATGTTTAACACGTCGTAAAATTGATAATTCATTTTCAATAAGATATTCCTAAAAACAAATTATCTAATCTAGTTACAATTAAAATGAATTCCTATTCCTGTCTACGTACATATCCTTTACATCTAGCTTTATCAATAATTTTCAATGCTAATTGAATTCCGGTTGCTTTATCTCGACATTCAAAAACTGCTGAAAATCTTCCATCACCTAAAACTTCTCCAACTTCATAATGACGTAGAAATACTTCAGGAAATGTTTGTGGATCATTATAAATCATAGCCTGTGCTTGTACAGTTGCTGAACGATGCTCATCAAGATCAAACGGCGTACTTTTACGCGACGGGACATTGACTTGCTCGGTATTAGTAGGTTTTTCAACAAAATATGCTGGTTGAGATAATTTTTCACGTACTGTTTCAAGTCGGTTAATTGAAGCAAGATCACTATCAGAAATAGTTAATTCATCCGGAGTAATACTTGCATCACGAGACGCAAAATAGAGACGACCACGACGAAGTAAATCCATTGGATCAGTTACCTAATTATTTAGCTATTAGTCGGAAGAAGAAAAACAATATTTGCAATTCGTCTGTCTTACTTGTTCACCTTTTGTATCCCACAATGTTTTGATCGTATTTTGTTCGAGTAGTAGGGCTTCATTAACAACATCTAAAAATGCATCCATTTGTTGTTGCTGTTGTTTTTGAGAATTAATAAAGAAACGAACAGCATGACGACTAGTACGTTGTGATACTGAGTTCGACTTCGTTGATAATGTCGAACGACACTGAACAATGGTAACAATTTGTGATAAAAGATACCGAGTCGATTCTGCCGATTGTTTTGCTGTTGGCCAATCAAGAATCGATGTTGTTAATTGTTCATCATGATCACGAGTGTTCGTTGTCGGTGTCATATATGGTAATACTGATTGATGTGGAATAAAATTTTCTTCGATCTGTTTGATTACATATTGACTAGCTATATAATAGGAACATTGTTGAGCATATGGTCGACAAAGATCAGATGGATGCTGAATCATATGTGGTGAGGTCGCCTTAGGTGGTTCAACTTCATTTGTTGTTGTTGTTGGTGGTGGTGGTGGTGATGATGGTGGTTGATTTTCATTCGGAACGGTTTCGTTTTCACCTACAGTAGGCTTACTTTCTTTTGGCATGTTTTTATTTTCTTCGGGAACAGTACCATAATTTGGATTAATCAGTGAAAGAAATTGTTGACCAAGATTATTGAATCGAGCAGCAGAAAATATTTTATAATCAATATATTGATGAGGTGATGTTTCAACACGGAACGACATGGTGGAATCTGTAAAATGATAGAAATAGTTTTATTCGATGATTAATTACGTAAAATACAAATAGAATACAGAAAACTAGAATAAAATCGATTTAAATAGTTGATTTAAACGAAAGAAATGTGTTACATAACAAGTGTTTTTTTTCTTCACAAAATAAATGATTCTTCACAAACAACAAACATATAAATTAGAAAGCTGTAGACTCGTCTTGTCTATCGTTTTGAGCAGGATCTGGTTGCGATGGCAAAACAGGCAATGCTTTTCCTCGTTGTCTTCTATGACGTCCATCATCGAAAATCTTCGTTTTAACCACTGGCATTTCTGGGGCAGGATTGTTAGGCACAACATCCTCATCGTTTGCTTTCACTTCAGTCGGTTTTCTTGGTGAAAATACGAATGTTGATGGCGCATCAGCTTGTTCTTGTTGAGCAGGTATTGCCGGTTTTGGTAGTGGTAGCGGTTGTGGTGCATATGTCGATTGTGATACAGTTCCTGATATGGGTGCAACTAGTTTGCCAGCGATTTCTAACATCGATGCATCAAGTTCACGTTGATTAACTGAAGATGCTCGTTCAGTATATGATTGATAAAATTGTTGAAGAGTAGTATCAATTTTTGATTTCGGCACACCTGTATTCGTCTGAAAAATAGCATAATTAAGTAAGGTCGTGGGATCTGTTGGGTTTAGTTTAAGCGAATATGTATAGGCTCGTAAAGCATTTTCTGGATCATTGAGTTTTGATAGGGCGACACCTAATAATGCATAACTTGGTGCATGTTTTCGATTGAGTCGAATTGCTGACTGAAGAAAAATTGCTGCTGACGCGTTTTGTTGTAGATATAAATGTACAAGTGCCAAATTATATAAAATATAGAGCTCAAAAGGTGCTAAATAATTCGCACGTTTTAAACAACTAACAGCAGCGACGAATTTCTTTTTCGAAAAAAAGCACATGCCAATGTTATTCCATACTTGTGCGCATTCAGGTTTTCGTCCATAAACAATACGATACTTCGACAGGGCAACATCAGCATCACCATGTTTCTGTATAACTTGACATGCTGCCATTATAGCGGGAGTATGTGTTGGACAAAATGTTAGTGCTGTACCAAAACATTCGAATGCTTTCGTATAATGAGCTCTCTAGAAGAAAAATTCATAGGAAATGTTTTTTTTTCTGTGAAATATTTCGCTAAAATTTTACTTCAAAAGCTAAAAGACCAAGTTGAGTAAAAAGTGTTGGTGATTCCGGATTACGTCTAGCACCTCGTTCAAATATTGCTTCGGCTTCATCTCGTTCACCGTCTAACATATAGATTTTTCCCAATGCTAAATAAGATGCTTCTTGAATTTCTGATACTTGTAATGCTTGTAATAGATATTGTTTAGCTTCTGTAAATTCGCGTAATTGCATATAACATAAACCTAAATTGTGGAAAATTTCCCAATCAGTACTTGTTCGTGTTAAAGCTTCTTTGTATGCATCAATAGCGACACGATAGCGTCCGAGTAATGCTAAAGATTTAGCAACTTGTTTGATATTAATTAATGATGGATTTTCAAGAACACATGTTTGAAATAGATCAAGTGCTTCAACAATACGTCCTTCTTGCCGATGTACAAGTGCTTGAACATAAGTCATATAGGAGTTTTTTTGCGATTGACTACGAATAAATTGTTGAATACGATCATATTCACCTCGACCATACATCACATGTAATAGCCAATTATATTTGTCAATACAAGCAAGATCATTTGGCCATTTCGATGCTCCTACTAAACCAGCAGATGGTTTAAGAATCGAAGGTGGTACTGCAACTGTTGTCATAGCCATTACTCGTTGATGATTATTAGATCAATTAATCTGCCAGCTACCGTATTCACCATCACCATTGAACCATCCATAGTAATGCCTCTATATTGAAAAATTATTTGTCGTTTTATTAAAAAAAGAAGGACAACTGCTTAGCAACATGGTGCAACCCTAACAACCAATGAATGAATGGCTATTTGCTTGTGTGGAAGAAAAAACATGATTCCTATGCTATCATAAACTATCTGTAAACATCTTCTTTTTTTTCTAGATTATTTTCTCAACAATGGCTTTATATTCAGCTGAAGATGCTAGATATCTCAAAAGGTTAGTATAGTTACCAAAACTTTGATTTCTTGAAATCTATTGTTGTTTATTTTTTTACAGACGCATTCGTGGTGGTCAAATTGATGTTCATCCCACTGAAAAGGCACTCATTGTTAACTATTCAATTGAAGCAACTGTACTCGATGAATATCAAAATACAATGATTGGAGACAAGAAAGATGCACAGAAAATGTAAATATTCATACAGAGAACGACGATGAGAGGCTTAAGGTCATTAGTTTATCTTTTAAATAATCTTTTTTTTTGTTAAATAGAATTCGTCTGAAAAGTCTGGGTCCAGCAACCGACATCCGAGCATTAGCTAAGGAAGTAATTAATCGTTGTAAATTAATTCATCCAACAAAATTAGTAGAAGTTGAACAATTATTATTCTATTTACAAAATCGTCGAGATACAAATTTACCAAGTGAAACAACGCCAAGTGGCCCACAAAAACCAATCTCCGATGAACTTGAACAGCCATCGATTGATTCGCAAATCAGTGAAATTGCATCGTTAAACGATATTGATGATTACGCTGAGATGTTATATGAAAATATACCAGAAAAAATCAAAGGATCAGCACTTATCTTACAATTGGCCCGCAATCCTGATAATCTATCGGAGATTATACAAAAAGGTAAGAGTAAATAAATGTCAATCGCGACCTACCATTTATTTTGTATAGAAAGTGTTTTAAACGTTTTAACACGTGTCTATAAAGAAGAATGGAATCAAAGCATTGAATTAGCAACAAATATAGTTTATATCTTCTTCTGCTTTTCATCATTTACTGATTTTCATCCGCTTGTATCCCAATATCGAATTGGCGCACAGACCATGACTGTAAGATTTTTATTAAAATTAAAACAAGAAAACCGATCCTGCCTGTTTTTTCTTACTTTGATTCACCAGATTATTGAAGCTGAAATGAAAAAATATGATCAATGGATGGAAGAAACAGCTCGTGAACAAAAGAAGAAACCACGTGATACACGTGCGAATATCACGATCGATAATAAATATAAAGTGCTCATACGAAAACAAGAACAATTTTTACGAGGTAAACTATAAATCTTTATTACATTGTCATTGCATTGGGTTTTTTTTAATGTCTCTTTAGTGGCATTTTATTTATTACTTAATTTAGCAGAAGATTTAAAAGTTGAATTAAAAATGCGAAATAAAACAATCATAAGCCATCTTATTCATGCACTCGATCGCGATAACAATGATCTACTTATTCTTGTTGTTTCATTTCTGAAAAAATTAAGTGTCTTTGTTGAAAACAAAAATGATATGGTAAGTTCATTATGATTATTTCAATAAGTAGATTAGATAGACGTAAGTAATAATAAAAGCCTTGGCCGGTGGAATCTCAAGTGGGAAGCAGCACAGTCAAATTAATATCTTTAGCTATAAGATGATATAATCAATTGTACTGAAATAATGATGATATTTTTAAATTATATTCTATAGACAAGTATAGCTGACAGAGATTCGTTAAGTGTCAAAATCAATATAGAAAGAAGCACAAGAAAAAACTAAAATAAAAATTCATTCGTTTCTTCAACTTCACTTTTATTGTTACTATTGCGTTGGTGGGTGATCGGTGAGGCGACACCAATGCTTCTGAAATATGCCACTTAACACGTTCGTTTGCATGATGCATATATACAAACACTTGCAAAGCCTCGCCATGTCGACTGTATTATGCTAATTTCACTTCAATCGTGTGTGTATTTCATTTAAAAGACGGTGCGCAATCTCATTGAACAAGTATCATCGCCGTGTGTGAGAGGGCCATGTGTGAATTTGAAGGTCGTACCTTATGTACAAGGCTATTTCTCTCTGTCTGTCACTCCCACCAACTGTTTGTCTTCAGTGTCAGGCAGTCTAGATCGAAATGTTATTCAATAGAATATTAAAAAAATGATGAATATTGATCGTTGAGTGACGGATGGTTTTTCGTGCTGGTATAATTATTGACTGTTACTGAAAAAACAACGTACACCAGTATCAATTTAATATTTATGTATGCATATGTACATATATATGCTTACATATGCATGTATATATTTATGTATATACATAAACGATCTAGACCCTCACTTTTTATGCGTTTTCTTTTTTACGTATTTTGGTATTTATTTTTTTTTTCATATCGATGTCAATTGTAATCCATATTATCCGGTTTTTCTTTTTCTTCTTCTCTCTGACAGGTAAAAGAAAATACATACGTATGTTGATGATGTATCCATCCATCCTCATTTTCTTTTTTTCATGATTCGCCCCGCTGGCTGAGAGATATGACGAGTGTTTGCGCTGTATTTACTATTGCACTTGACGCGCTGATAATAGATGAAAAATGATTCTATGTGATATTCCTACACAACAAAAAGAATAAAAACTCTAGTTTCTTTTTCTTCACCTGCGCACGCATCGGATGATTAAATGCGAATGATTGTGTACGATTGATGATCCATCTTTCTCATTTACAAATTATCACTAATTGCACAATGATTACGTTCTCTTTACGTGTACGTTTGATCTACTTTATTCTCTCTCTCTCTCTAATCATAGGATCAACTAGAGGCGTTATCTTATATGAAAATCCTTCATTAAATCACAGTTTTCAATGAGATGTCCTAACCGCTCGTTCTTCCTTTTCTTTTTGGTATTTTTAAATGAGTGTTGATGATTATGATCTACCTTCTTTCATACTTTATTGATCAGTTGAACTTTAATGAATGTTTCATATGCGTGCGTGTATGCGTACAAACATCATTGTGCTATTCTGGTCATCAACGATATGGCGACAATTGTTTTCTTTTTTTTTGAAACAATTATCTGATTTCTTCATTTTATACAGTTGGCGAGCGATATCCTACATGCTTATGGATGTCTCAAATTAAGACCATTGTCAGTGTGTCATCGTTATTGTCCATCTTCACCTTCATTCATTTCATTTCATATCTCGATACATATTTGCACTGAAAGTAAAGAGAAACGTACGACACAAATTTACAGCACTGTAAAAAAATATCGTTTCGGCTTCGTCTCTCTTCTCTTCGATTTTTCTTTCTCATTCTCGTCAATATATATATATATATATGTATATATATTAAATATAGCAAATTATTTTTTTTTCCATCTTCATTCATTCAACACATCGATGACAGGTTACATTTAACAATTTAGACCGTATGCCTATTCGTACGAAGAAAAGAACTATGATATCAAGTATGTTTTCATTATATACTACCCATTATAATAGTTTCTCTTCACATCAGAATTCTCCTTGAGTCATATCTTGTTCTCTCGTAAACACAG